AAAGTGTCAAAAAACGAATCTATAAAAACGAGAAATGCAAAATTTACTTTAGTCGCTCAAAACGTAACATACAAATAAAAGCAAAAACGATGTGTGTAGATATTTTAATTAAAATGAAATTATTCAATGAAGAAAGTACTAATTTTTCAACCATATATCTTCTTTAACAATATTTTCATTGAACTAAATTGTTAAAAAGTAAAAATCTTCGATAGTTTTCAAAGATTGTTATCTACAAGGACAAATGTTCGGTATTTCAGTGTTAATTTCAAAAGAAAATAATTCAATTAAGTTTTACATTGATCAATTAAGCTCCAATATTAAACTTATATCTGACACACGATCTAACCCCCGAGGAGAATATACAATGTTTATGTAAGAACATGCTTGTAACATATCCCTACAACAAACATAATGTTATTCAATTATGACTGAAAAGGCCCTTAATGATGGGCCCTCTTGAAAGCCATCTGGCGACTCGCGTGTTTATATATTTGCATATTAAAATTTGACGTAGCTTTCGGCCTATTTTCCCTTCTTTAGCGGTATTTATTATACATACATATATCTATGCATATTTACTTATGTAGCAAAACGTCAAAAGTCATATGTCAAAAATTTGACATAAAAATGTAATATTGCATATTTTATATTAAGAAAATTAGGATTGGGGGATACTTTTTTTTACTGATACATGTATAAGACCTTTTAAGAATTTTTTTACGGGGACAATTTATTCGGATTAGCTTTTTTTTGTAATTACAGCGAAGTTTAACTCATAAATAAGGCAAATATCAAATAAACTTTTTTTATGAAGTTCGATATTGTTTTCTGTTCTTTCATTTTTGCCTATAGCAATAGTGTGTAAAAATCATCTTCTTTCTCGGACAACACTAGATACATGTAAATGTAAGTGAAAAATATAAATGTACATGTACCATAAATGACGAGGAACGTGTTGTGTGTAATTTGGATTTTGCACCCATTTCTATTATAGATTAAAATCAAAATGTTATATTATAAATTATGAAATAATGTGTAACTCATATAATCTACTATATGTCCCTGGTGAGAAGAAAACGAACTCAGATTTTAAACCTTGAATCAGCTAAATTTTGTAACAAACTTTGAATGTTTGAATAAGTCCATCTCCATTTTTGGAAGTGTTCATTTTCAAATTTGGGTAGATTTATTAAATTTAAGAATAAATGAAGTTGGTAACAGCCTGAAGGGACACTGCAGAAGTGTAGACTGGCCTTGCTCTATACTGATAACAAAAACTTAACACTTTCGTGTCCGGCAGTAATTTTGCGATTTTTTTCAGCAGCATTTATTAAAAGCCCATTATGCCTCAGAAATCCATATTTTATATATATATATATTTTAGAATTGTCAAACATATAACGTTTATATAATTGATTAAGAGCATTTGAGATGTTTTACAACTGAAAAAAGTAGAACTTAAGATGCAATGATGTGTTAAAAGGTAGCTAAATGTAAACAAAATAGTATTTGACGTCCATGCAAAATACTAATTCACAATAGTTGTATCGCTTGCCATCTGAGCTGAAGATGCAAAAGATAGCTCGGGTATATAACAAATGAGTATGTTTTTGGAAACTGTAACATTAGAAATCAAAATTAAACAGGTTTCGAGAAACAAAAAATAATAGCATTTCTAAGGCATAATTGGCCTTTAAAACAATTTATATCTATAAGATAATGAATATTTATTGTAACTTGGATGTATTCCTAGGGGTTTCAAACTTATAAATATTAATTTCAAACACCCAGGGATTACAGCCCTTGAATGACACATATCATATGACAAAGTACAAACTAATTTGATATATTATAAATTAAAGTTTCACTTACAATCACTCCTAATTTTTTATTACAAATTAACACGGATAAGTAATGAAATTAAATATTTTCACCACCTATATTAACATTGTAAAGATTGACGGATATTTGATATTGGGTGATTTTAATTAAAATTTTGCCGTCTTGAATGGACGTATTTGTACAAAGGGTGAATGGAACATTAGTAACTTGTTATAAAAGTGTTTAAACCCGTCCGGAATTTTTACAACGCGGTCAGTCATTAAGCACAATTTTTAGTACATTGATGACTTATGAAAAAAATACACAGTGGGCAAATGACTAATTTCTTCTAAAAACAAAATTTGATCAGCTGTTTATGTGTTAAAATGGGGAATTTTAAATTACTTCTTTTAGAACAATAGGTATGATTAAAGTTTACTTAATATTAAGTTACTCGCTGATATGTTTTGCAGTGTGTTATCAGCTGATGTTTTTGATATTGTTATCACAATTCATGTAAGTAATTATTAATACATGTTAATATAAGTATATAAGTTTAAGTATATCAACTTATATACTTATAAGTGTAAGTTTGCGAAGTCTCAATTTCTGTATTTAAGTTTATTAATAATTTTTCGATAGCAAATTTGGTGAGATTTTGGCGCTATTTTTATTCATCTAAATTTCTTAAAGTAAATGATAACCATCCGATAAATAACTGTTTGTTATCATTTGATATTATTATAAATAAAATATTTTTTGGTGGCACTAGGCACTGACTTTAATTGACAATTAAATGGTTATGGGATCAATTACACTCGTCGTCTATAGTATCTTATATACATGTATATTCTAGAAAAAATAGGATGTGTATTTTCAACTTCCTAATTAATTAAGGTCAGCATTCGCCGTTAAAGAGGGCGATATAATTTATTTTTGAGGCGAAACCAACCTCATTTGAAACTGGTTTGATTACTCCAATCGAGTACATGAACGTACAAATCAATTATAACGTATTACATAAAAACGTCAACTGATCATCCGAAATCTATTATACTTGTCGCTTGCAGGCACAACCTGCTTTCCATAGTGATTAATGCGTCATTGGCAACCGATGACCACCGTTTTAAGAAGTTAGTGTATTTCTTTTATTAATTATTTATGTGTATAACTGTATGTAATTAAATGGTCCGTTAATTGTCACCGTGGGGTCAATGCGCACGCAGTAAAATCTAGGTAATCTTGAATATGTACTGTTATTTTAGCATCACTGATATTTTGTGTATATTTGTTTTCGTTTAATAAAAAGGAATTAAATTCAATCAGTTATTTATACAAAATGGATTATATCAGAGTAAGTTATCATTGTTATTTTTTCCTTGAATAATTTTATTATTTATTCATTGCATTGGATATGATGTGAAGAAAAGAAACATAAACGTTGAAAGCTTTTATTCTAAAATTATTGAGATAGGAAAAAAGTACATATATGAAATAAAATTAAGTTTTTTTTTAAGACGAAGTTTCAAACATCAAAGTCCTTTTTGTCTATTGTTGTGGTGTAAATGTATATAATTCCATGTTTCACCTATAACATTTCGGTAAAATAATGTCCATGGATGAATTGCTTCTTGTTTTTTGGGGAGTCCTAATTAAAAGTTTCAGTCAGTTTTAGATTTTAAAGTACTAATGAAATTACACCTTTTATAAGATCGTGAAAACCGGCATCTTTCGCCATTTTCTCTGTTATATGAACCACTCACAACATTACAAAGAAATAAACTTAGCAACGGAAAGAGCCGAAGTTTGCCGAATATGTACGAGCTCTTGAAAACCGTAAAACCGGATCTGACTAAATAAACACTAAAAATTTTAACTCGACTTAATTTAGAGAATTTGTTAAGTGATTAGAATCTGCATCCTATATCTTAATCTGTTGATAATTACTTAAAAACAGTAATAACCTAAGCCCACAACTAAATGTCAAAAACAGGGTCCTTAAATTTGAAAGATCCTGGTCAAAATGAACATATATTCAGCTCAAAATCAAGAAAAAATAACAGGGACAAAAACAAAAGAAAAAACAACATTATAACAACATCTGTACATTTACGTATACAGTTTTAATTTGTCAATAGGCTTAAAGTTTTTTGTCAACAGCGCGTAATTTGATAATTTGGAATCGGAATTAAGTTTAGGTCAATGGTATAGTGTTTGATGACATGTAAGCAGCTATGATCGAAGTTTATTCCACTCATGTTTAATGAGATGGGATCAAGATATGTCAGTTGTTAACACAACCACAAAGTCTTGTACAAATTTATTGGCGGCTTTAAGAGATGGTTAAATAGCACATGGCTCTTATGAATTCGTGTGAAATTCTGTTTTCAAAAGAGCTTATTTTAGCATTAATGAAGCTTGCTGCAATAAATGACTTTAAATGTACACATTGCGTTATATGAATTTATAATTTTTATTTTCGTTCTTAGGCATTAGCCTTTTTAAAAATGAACTTTTCTTTTTAGTCTTTCAGAATTTGTCAATCAAACTTAATTTTAGAGCGTTGAAAATCATATAAAAACTTTGAAGTATTCTCTTTTTTTTTGCGCGCGTCCTGTTTAACTTCATTTTCAGCTTCCGCGAAATCTATTAATACCTTACAATGGCCGGAGAGAGCAAACGAATTTTTTTCTTTATTTCTCCGAGTAATTTGCATTGTTTTAACGTTCACGGATCCTGAGCTGAACTTCAGAATTGCAAAGGGTCATATGAAAAACGATATAAATCGGAAGCCATTTTATAAAGGATGTGAATAAATAATCTTCATTCATTCGTTCAAATATATCTGTTTTCTGATTGGCTGATTTTATGTACATGTTTGAAATATTTCATTGTCGAATGGCGTGCTTATATTTTGGTAAATATTTAAAAATATAAGCATGGTTTGGTACTACATGTTAAAGCAAATCCACAAAGTAGCACAGCTGCAGTTTGAACATTTTTTTCTCATTTCTTCACGTGCTTTTTTGTTCGTCTGCTGAACATTTGACTGGGGCGGACATTACCCAAGTCCCTTCACCAATTCCCACGAATCTTTAGATCTTGTTGACATAATTTGACCCCATATCTTGTGATTAGCACCATGTAAAATGCATTAAGATGTTTTTAAGTTGATCGGGAAATATACTTTCATATCGGGATGCAATATGGGCAAATTAATTATGTGTAAGCGCTCAAGTGATAGAGAGTAAAGTTTACGTCGAACGTGCTGTAATATCAGTTCAAAAGTGGCGTCTGACTCGATAAGTTAGACAAAAAAATCTGACAATTTAAATTGAATGCTTCTGAATTAGATCTTTAAGATTACTAACAAGGAGCCGTTAGTTTGAATTTGTGTTGTTTTTTCTTTGGATTAATATTTAATGGTAAGAATTTTAAAACAAACATTTATATATATACCGTAAAAAATATACCTGAGTCGGAAACACTAAGACTTTTTTTATTCATACATAAAATTCGATGATTATTGGACTTCTAGTTTCTCTCACATAACCTTTTGTCAACATCTTTTAAAATGCTTTAATTGAAAACTGGGTTTAAAATCATATTTACTAGGTGACACTAAGGAATTTCCTCATTACATTTTTAGTATTAATGGTATTTTATTGCATAATGATATTTTATTGCATATTAATGCAAATTTAACATCTTTATCTGAAGCATAATTATATTGTACAAACGGGTTGGATCAACAGGTATAACAACATTATCTCTAGGGTCCTTCCCTAACCAACTTTCAAACACTTTCTTCTCTTTTTATGTTGTTTTTTATTTTAAATAAAAAAAAATCTTCTCCAGAAGACGTTTATCAGGAAATTCATGTTCAAAGTCTATTGTAAGTTTAAGTTTATAGTGCGCAAATTAAATCACTGGTATCAAGTTAAATTTTAAGTAGCGTGTTGTTGTTGTTGTTGTATGGAGAGGGTATCAAAGTACGAAGTCTTGAACTAATCATGTATTGCGTTTGATTTCTCTTGTTTTCATATGATTATCATTTTACAGTTTAAAGGCGACAAGAAACGTTAAGACATTGATACATAGTAAAATAGTGGGATTATTTGCACGGGGAGTATTTATTTAATATGTCCGAACACCACCGATGACGTAGTTTGAAAAAAAATATTGCACACTTTAATTTGTAACAAAGAAAAAAATACAAAAAGCTAGTGTATACTTCAATTCTATACAGTTAAAAATCAACGTGTTTTAACAGTTTCCTGCCTTAAATTATATTAAGATGCCGTAATACATTATGTTGACGGGATATTTGATTAAGACCTATTTGATGACCTCGCTGTGGGCCGAGCAAAACACACAAAAAGCTTATGGAATACCATACATAGCCATGTTGTTTTTTGCATATAGGTTTAAGAATTTAATCATTTAAAAGCCTTTACTCGTGTTATTACAATTAAGTAGATGTGAAAAAGTTACATGGCTTCAAAACCTACATATCAATTATAAGTCTTTCTTGTAAACCTTTTTATTTTCATTTCAATTTATAAATTGTGAAAACTGATTGACAGTTCTGTAAATAAAAAGATTTCTATAATGTTTCATGCACTGAAATACCTTTCTGGTGCACAGCCCACGCAAAGACAACAAAATTGGTAGACTGTATTTAATTAAGGACACTATCTGAGGTCATCCGATGTTTTGAAAGTGCAACTTAAACAGTTTACTATAAAATCTTAACATTTACTTAAACACTTATACTATAACAATATTAAGTGCGTGTGAACACACTTACCCCCCCCCCCCCCCCCCCCCTACATACAGTATGATAATATCTATTTAAAAGCTAAAATTGGCGCTCAAAGGAAACGAAGCTCGATCAGTTTTAAAAATAAACTTGTTTGAAATAAACAACATAAAAGAATAATTTGCCATCAGCACTTAAGACCGTATGTACTTATGACAAACAATGATGTCACGAGGTTTTAATTGGGATACTTACACAGTTCAAAACCAGAAAGGATAAAGAATTTGATGCAATAACATGGATATATAAACAATATATAACTTATTTACTTGTGGCTGCAATATATTGGAGTATATTTTTTATAAGGTAACAATAAAAAACGTATTAACTTGTGACTGCAATACATTTTAGCATTTTTTTAAAATATATATAAGGTATCGTATTTTTTTTCTAATGCAATGAATTAATTCTTTTAGAATATAATTAAAAAAACACAAAGGCTTATTTTTTTAGCTTTTGACTGAATACATAAAAGAGAATAAGATTTCCAGGTTTAAACAAATTGGCTTTTTACAAAATTAACGTCGTATTTTCAAGTTTTTCTTTTGTTTTGTAAGGACTATTTTCTTTTAAACAGCATAGAAATATGTAAAAAAAAATGCAGTTAAGCAAAAGTGACTGCGATGTACAGATTTGATATTCTAAAAATATAAATATATCCAGGGGAAAAAACAACAACGGGTGAAAGTGTCTTAAGTTTTGGGCCTTTTCATATAATAATGGTCACAAAACGTTGTTACCTGTCTAGTCATGTCATTCGGAATACTTAACAATAACCGTGTTGATTTAATGGTCACTTTATGTCCTTCATTAGGTTTTTTTTGTCTGTTTGATTTGCTAGTTTTATTGTCTGTTTGTCTTTTGTTGAGCATTAATTATTTTATGTATGATTTTTATTCATATTCCAGCTGCGTAACACTTGACATGAAACGCATTGTTTGTTATTCGGTGTTTATTGCGGACTATTTTCTTGACAGTTGTTTGCTCATTTTATCGTTTCAGAATTGTTCCGGATGTAATGAACTCATAAGCAGTGCCAATTAAATCACAACCATGAACAACAGCACCATTTCGTTACCCGGTACGCCGGTGGGCGTCGCCCAACTTACAACTGTGTCAACGGTGGCAAACACAACACCTTTGAGCGATGACGACTTGTTCGAGACTCTTGTCCGGTATAACGATGCTAAGGCAACTCTGTATATTCCAGTAATAGTGTACATGAGTGTTTTGACAGTGGTTGGAACTTGTGGAAACATTCTAGTGTGCTGTGTGTACTGTTGCAAACCAACAAAATCATCCTCACATTTTTTCATAATGGCGCTGGCCGTCCTTGACCTACTTACGTGTATAATTGGAATGCCTACGGAAATTACCGATCTCAGATATCCGTACATGTTTTATGCATCAGCAGCATGTAAACTTTTAAGATTCGTGGAATCTGTTACCACAATAGGTTCTTCTATGATTTTGATATCAGTTGCTGTGGACAGGTATCTGCGAATATGTAAATTAGGCAAAATGATCTCCGTGAAGGCATCAAAAAAGATCTGCGTTGTGGCAATGTTTGTCGGCGTCGCACTGTCGTGGCCAGCTTGTGTGATTTTCGGACGTGCAACCGAGGAGCTTGAGCCCGGAGTCTGGGGCGTTGACTGCTCGACTGACGACTCGATGCACGGCACTCTTTGGCCGCCAATTTACTACGGTTTTCTTGGACTTCTTTTCATCTGCTGTCTGATTTTCTTTTCTGTCATATACATTCAAATTGGGCTTCAAATATGGCGACAGAAGAGAGCAAAAATCGGGCAAAAGTCAAACCGAGAATCTGAAATTTCGTCAAAGTCAACTCGAACGTTCAGCAGTAGCTCAGCTCATGAATCAAGCGACCCAGTGGAAGAGGTCAAAGGTGGTGCACCAGACGACAATGGATCTGATCCAATCAGCACTGACATGTCTTCAGAACAAATAAATGACTCATACTTGAAGAAAAAATGCATTAAAAATAATAATAAAGAACGAAAATTTTCCTCAATTTCTTCAGCGAGTGTGAAATCCTCTGCACCAACAAAGCGAAAAATAAAAGTCACGCGGACAACTGTCGTCCTATTTGCAGTGACGGTCGCTTATGTAATTAGTTATCTGCCATTTTTAATTCTTATGGTAATAAGAAGTATAAAAAAGGACTTTGAGGATAATCTAACGCCTACGCAAGAAGTGGTGTTTAAATTCTGCGTCAAGTCATATTTCATAAACAACGCCATTAATCCAATTATATATAGTTTCCTGAATATCAACTTCCGCAAAGACGCTAAGAAAATGATTATGCGGATTTTTGGCGCGTGCTGTTGTTGCAGACGACACAGTAGCGTCTGACTATATGAAAGGAAATCCGACAAGAAAAGAAAATACAAAAATGTGTGTTTTAACGATGAGTCGACTGAATTGTGCTGAACTACAAATCGGACTTACTTTTGTTGTTGCAAAAACAAAAGAAAAAGGGCATTTACATAAAATACAATGTATATATAAGCTTTGTATGGAAAGTGGGCATAGAATTCCATAAAATATTAACTATATTAGGGGCACCTGAAAGGATAATTTCTATTTGCATTTGTAACTGGATTAAAGATCGAGATATATGTAATACCTAAATGCAAATTTATGAACAGTGTTTACTTGATCTTAACTATTAAAGTCTGAATAATCTTGTGCATTCGTGGGAGTTTAACTGTGCATGGACACATTTTGCATTGACAAATGACTGGTGCAATTCATATTTATGTATATAGATATTGTTTTATTTATATTTATTTTTGTCTTGTTTTTGCATTTGTATGAGACACACGAAAATATTTCTTGTTTGAAAGAATTATAAATGAATAATGATCATACCTGTGTTGTGATTCTTTTGATTCAATAATAAATAGTTTGCTTTGAGATTGTCCCGGGTGAAGACCCTGAATTTTCGTATTGTATATACATGATCATTTTTGGTTAAGAGGGGCATCCGTGGCCGATGAGTTAAGGTCGTTGACTTCAAATCACTTGCCCCTCATTGCTGTGAGTTCGAACCAGACAGACAGGGGCTTTTGGATTATTTCATGTGATGAAGCTATCCAGCTAACTTACGGAATGTTGGTGGTTCTACTCCGGTGCCCATTTGTGCCTGAAATAATACATAGAAGGGCAACTGAGTTCTTCCGCTACGAGTAAAGTCGGAAAAGTCGCCGCCACATGACTAATACTGTGTTGGTGTGACGTAAAGCCTGACACAAAAATACGTTAAGAAAGCTTGTAGCATATAGGAATCAGGTTCGACTAAACTGTATTGACGCTATGTATACGAGGTCACGAGGTTGTAACTCAATTAGGCTCGAACTCTCGCACGATCTCTTGTTTGAGAGGCATGACACATATTAACTTTTAAGCGACCGATCTCCTGATACATGTCCCAATGGTAAAATTGGTTTCCGCCAGAAGGCTAAAGTTTCAAGTTTCACATCCCATCGTGATAGTATACATTAGGTTACCTTGATAACGCACAAATGACTCGTTAATTTACTTATAATCAAATTGAAAAGGATAATCATATTTTAAGAAAACAAGAAATAAAGAGAGCAGCGTCCTGGTTGGTTGAAATTTCCACATTGATAAAAGATTGGATTTTCATTTTATTTCAAAACCGGGAAATTCAAAATACTTTAGAATATGGTCTCAAATATAGTGGTGCTTTATATCTGAGTTTTAAATGGATTCAAAAATATTGAACTGTCCTAAACCAGAAAATGGCTTGTACTAGCACTACGAACAAAACGTCCATATGGTTTTCCAATTTCCACATGTGTCAATACATAAATACATGTAAAACGTTTTCATGATAGCCGTACGTCGCTTACCAAAAATAATGTACATTTGTATTCTTGAGATAAGGCCGTGCTATAGGAATTATTAAAGTTTTAGTCCAAATTAAAATTTAAGAGACCAAAAAAGAAAAATAACTCTATTTAAAGTCCAAAAGACGCTAAATACGACGTTGAGCGAATCAAAGGTTTATGCAAGGAAGTCATGTAAAGGCCCACCCATTTAAATATGCCTGTAACAGCCCATAAAAACGACTGTCCAAATTAGTATGCGCGAACTTAAAACAGTTAATTTTGTGATGACTAATCTATTGTTACATGGGATGTCATTTGTATTTATTTTATAGCAGTAACATACCTTGATTACGAGTATACTTTAGAAACTATGTTGGAAAACTATCAGGCTAAGAACAGCGATGATTTATTTGTTATGGTTTCAAGGTTCTCTAGTTTCAGACATATCGATTGTAGGCAGAGATCCCGTTAGCAATTGTATCATGAACTCTATAGTCAAAGCACCAGTATATGCACTTCCAAAACATAATCTATTTGAGATCAGTTGTGTAGGAAGCAAGAATGGAATCAACCTATACTACGCAATGAGCGTAATATTTTTTGCTCAATTAAACAACGGATTTTCCCTGGCGGGGTTTAGACCCACACGGCTAGTGATCCTTTGATAACTAGTCCGATATGTCAACCACTCGGCCATGCCGCCACTTCCAAAATTAAAACTCGCTACAGCACATTACGGAAACCGAACAGGATGATGTTATTATCAATTTGAAGACTAAAATTACATCAGCCACTTCAAAGTGAGTGCAAAGTAACAACAAATTAAAAGTACCCGATAAAACCTCTCTCTTTTCAGCAAAACTAGCATCTGAATTAACCATATCAAACGTTAACAGATGTTACAAATTTTGATTCATTTAGAAACCGAGTCTACATGTAGCTCAGTCGGTTAGAGCGTGAGACTTGTTATCTCGTCATTGTGGGTTCGATTCCCGGGCTGGCCAACTAAAATTACTAAAACAATATTTCGGATGAAACTTTAAATTGAGGTCCCGTGTGTGAGTGCTTATAGGGTATTAAGCAATATCTTATGAAATACATGTATGTTTATCAAATTTATTAACAGTTAAAATAATATTGTTACCAAATGAATCGTAACATAGGATGACTCTGTTATTTAACACACATGAATATTGTACGTAAACAGAATAAAATGTTCAGAAACAAAATATTATACTGCTATTTTCAGTACGGTTTTAACCGTTTGGAAGTTATTTCGTTCAAGCGCCATTCGATTTTAATTAAGGCAGTTTACTACCATATTTATTTCATACAAGGATTTTGAATGTGCATTTGTATTCTCAAAAAATGCAGCAGAAATATAGCTTTACACACTTGAAACATTTTTGGCACGCTAAATATTAAGGGGAAGCTTCTGAAATTGGGGCATCTTATGTATCTGTATCTTGCAATATCTAAAATGACTGATTCTCTTCCATATGGGCAACCGGTGGTGAATATATATACACTCAAAGACACATAGTACACAGCACTGAGGGCCTTAAAGAATTATAGATACCATCCAGCCCGCAAACATTAAAGAGACCGAAGTCGAGGGCTGACTTCCGTTCAATGTGTTTTGCTCGTTTGGGGCGTCCGTGGCCGAATGGTTAAGGTCGTTGACATCAAACCACTTGCCTGTCATTACTAAAGGTTCGAATCGCTCAAGCGTCTTCGGATTCTTGCATGTGATGTGAGAAAGCTATCCAACTAGCTTACGGAACGTCGGAGGTTCTACTCAGATACCTGAAATAATGCACGGAAGGGCACCTGAGGCCTTCCTCTATCAGTAAACCTAGAAAGTCGCGATATGAGCTATACTGTTTTTGGTGCGACGCTTACCCCAACCAATAACAAATCTAAGGTCATAAGGTTCGAATGATTTGAGCTATTTCTCATACTAAACCGCATACTAATAAATCATAATGGTGAAAATTAAACAAGGAAAAAAATCATATTGTTATATACTAATAACTTAGTAGTTTGCTAAGTAAAGTACTGAAGACCGTCGTCTGTCAGCTTACATATTGCACGTTTTGTAAATAGTTCTCGTGGTTAAAATGCCGCTAAATTTTGCACGGTTTGTAAATATTCCTTGTTATTTTAGCGCCAAAAAGCGTCCGCTCAACGGTCTATGAATGGTGTCGTCATCGTGAAACATCCGCTGACATTTATATAAAACAAGAGTTTTCAGGAGGGCAGCGTGCTCGACTATTCTCAGTGCTTGATAGTAAAACAAGGGACTTTTCTACGTTCAAAAGGAGCCATAATTATGTCAAAATCCATGTTAGAGTTATGGGCCTTTGAAAGTAATCCTACGGAGTGCTCTCAGATAAATGTGTGAAGTTTCAACAATTTTCCCTTCAGTAGTTTTGGAGATACAAACTTGCATGCAAAAAACCTAATACAAGTGTTACGCCGACGCCTGGTGGGTACAATAGCTGTCCCTATTCTTCTTATAGTCGAGCTAAAACGAACCAACACATTTATATAAGGTAAAATGTATATTAAAATATGTAAGAAATACAAGGCAATGTGTGTTATTTTTTCTCTCTATTTATTTACCTCAGTACATGTAAATGCCAAAAGCAACAAATAAATACATGTATACATATCATAGACATAATTAATCTCTTATCACCAAATAATATTGTGTACAAGTTTTACTAAAAATTACATTATTGTATTGAACTGTGCATACAAGTCACAGAAACGGACAAAAATAAAAAAAATGTGGTATAGTAAATATACATGTAAAGAAGATTCAGCATCACATAAATTCCCTTTTACACACGTTTTCCTACAAAACGAAAATCAGAAACGTGTCAAAACAATCTGCATGTGTTTAACAAAATTAAATACTTGCACATGAATAGGATTTAACACGTCATTCTATTCATTAATGAAGTTTTATCAAAATCAGCCAAGGTATTTCGGAGATGTCATTTAAAAACCTGGAAAAAGAATGATCCATCGGAAGCATTAATCACAACAAAATCACATGAAAATTGCAGACTCGGTTTGATTGAGTCTGTACATAGGGGAAATTATTAAGGGGCAACATTCCTTATTTCTAAATTAAGCATGATTAAAGGCACATTATGCCCCAGAAATAAATAATATTTTACTTTTTGAGAAAGGGCAAATATAAATTTTAAAACTTTTAAATAATGGTTTTCAAGCATGTTAGATGCTTGTAACCAGAAAAAAAGATAAATGTGAAATAACTTAACATAGCAAAACGTAAACAAAGAAGTAATTTGCCTTTCATACAAAATAACTATACTTATTGCCAAAAAGCAACAAATGAAAATGATAGTTCAGGTAATTGGCCGATAAGTAATTATAGTACACAAAAGTATAAAAGCATTTGAGAAATAAATTTAAAAGCATTTCAGACGATGAGGGTGATCGCAATAGCTTTTGCCCTAATGACTAAAAAAAATTGACCTACCAACTGTAAATTGAGCCTGATTGGAATATAAGGATGTGCAGGCTGATTTGCCTCGCTACAGGTAGGCAATTTATCAATTTAAGTACGAGCTGATTGAGGCTTTAAAATTTAAATGCAGATTTTACATTATCCAAAGATCATCGTTGGATACCCATTGTTAATTAACATGTAATCAAGGGTTTATGGTTTTGGCGCCATGGATATCTGACGATGCTTTTACATTATACAACTAATCAGCAAACAAAAAAAGAATTCAACAAGGGAACAAACTCTTACAGAAAAATGTCATTATCACATCCTTTGTTATCTTCCCTGAATTTAGCAAAAACAGAAATTTAAATGGTAGTTCAATTGATCTAGCAAGGGTAAAGACAATGGGTGTTATTGTGTAATATGTATCTGTCAAGATAACTATCAATAATCAAAACAATAAGAAACATATAAAGCATAAACCATGTTATATTTCATTGAAATAAACAAATTCTAAATAAACACATGTT